GAAAAGAGAATTCCATTTTCTGAGAAGAAAGTTAAGCCAGCTAGAGAAATTTGCATAAGTAACAAGGAGCCGAATGTTAATCCCCACAGCAATGGGGAAAATGTCTCCAGGGCATATTAGAGACCTTTGCAGCAGCCCCTCCCATCACAGACCTGGAGGTTTATGAGGAAAAAATGGTTTCACGGGCTGGGCCCAGGGTCTTTCTGCTGTGTGCATTCCAGGGACTTGGTGCCTGTGTCCCAGTTGCTCCAACCGTGACTAAAAGGGGCCAAAGTACAGTTCGGGCCATGGCTTTGGGGGGTGCAAGCCCCAAGTCTTGGCAACTTCCATGTGGTGTTGAGCCTGCAAATGCACAGAAGTCAAAAATAGAGGTTTGGGAACTTCTGCCTAGATTTCAGAAGATGTATGGAAATATCTGGATTCCCAGGCAGTAGTTTGCTGCAAGGTTGGGGCCCTTATGGAGAACCTCTGCTAGGGCAGTATAGAAGGGAAATGTGGGGTTAGAGTCCCCACACAGAGTCCCTACTGGGGCACTGCCTAGTGGAGCTGTGAGAAGAGGGCCACCATCCTCCAGACCCAAGAATGGTAGATCCACTGACAGTTTGCATCACGTGCTGGGAAAAGCTGCAGACACTCAATGCCAGCCCACGAAGGCAACGAGGAGGGAGGCTGTACCCCACAAAGCCCCAGGGGTGGAGCTGCCCAAGGCCATGGGAACCCACCTCTTGCATCAGTATGACCTGGATGTGAGACATGGAGTCAAAGGAGATCATTTTGAAACTTTAAGCTTCGACTGCCCTGCTGGATTTCAGAATTCTATGGGACTTGTAGCTCCTTTGTTTTGGCCAATTTCTCCCATTTGGAATGGCTTTACTTACCCAATGCCTGTACTCCTATTGTATCTAGGAAGTAACTAACTTGCTTTTGATTTTATAGGCTCATAAGTGGAAGGGATTTGCCTTGTCTCAGATGAGACTTTGGACTATGGACTTTGGAGTTAATGCTGAACTGAGTTAAGACTCTGGGGTAGTGCTAGAAAGACATGATTGGTTTTGAAATGTGAGGACGTGAGATTTGGGAGGGATCAGGTGCAGAATGATATTGGTTTGGCTATGTCTCCACCCAAATCTCATCTTGAATTCCCACATGTTGTGGAAGGGACCTGTGGGAAGTAACTGAATCATGGGGGCAAGTCTTTCCCATGCTGTTCTTGTAATAGTGAATAAGCCTCATGAGATCTGATGGTTTTATAAAGAGGAGTTCCCCTGCACAAGTTCTCTGTCTTTGCCCGCTGCTATCCATGTGTGACATGACTTGCTCCTCCTTGCCTTCTGCCATGAGTGTGAGGCCTCCCAGCCATGTGGAACTGTAAGTCCATTAAACCTCTTTCTTTTGTAAATTGCCCAGTCTCAGGTATGTCTTTATCAGCAGCGTGAAAACAGACCAGCACAGTTCTCCATCATGAGGAATCTGGCCACCAATCTTTTTGGCTGCTTCATACTGAGGAGGGGCGTTGTGGGCAGCTTCATACCATGGGTGAACACTTGGCCACCCAGGAATCCAAGGTTAATATAATACTATAATTTTCTTCTGAAACACAGTCTTTCTCCCCTGACAGTTCCTCCCCTCCACCAAAGACAAATCACTACAGGGCCATCTTTTATTGATACTACACAAACATTTTATTCAAAAGCAAAAAAAAAAAAAATTTATCCCAATATAGTCTCAGGTATTTTGCTACAGCAGAACAGACAGACTCAGGCATTTTGCCTGCTCACCTCTTATCTTCAGGTGAGAGGTATCAGGCGTCTCCACCCCCACGGTCCTGCTGGCAGCACCCTAGCATACTCACAGGCAGGAAGCAGGAACTTACAGGTGGCTTCCAAGGAAGAAAGGTATCATGATGAGAAACACTTGTGGGGCCTGAGCTGACCCAGGCATAAGAGGGAGGGAGAGAGCGTCAGGCAGGAGAACCAAGGTGGACACGAGAAACAGAGGAAGGTGGGACGAGCCTCTGGAAGAGAAGGGGACACCACGATACCGGGCACACCTCTGCCACTGAAGAGCTGCTCGGTGACTCCTCATAGTCTGCAAAGCAACCTCCTCATAATCTATAGCTCACCAAGTCAGACTACCAATTTAGGACATAAGCAAGGCTGAGGAATTTTATCTTTCTTCCCGCAATTTAGGCACTCAGTCTCCCCCACAGACTTGCGCCTCTCGTGACAGCCACGCTTAAGGACAGCAGCAGGCAGCTGGAGGATCATTCCCTCTGGCTGCTGCCCCAGCTGTATTTACCTCCGGGCATAGTGTCTATCTAAGATCTGGAACAACCTCTAAGAACAGGGAACAGCCTTGACGTCTGAGAGAACATTACAGCTAGGGAAAGCTTGCTCCAGCAACTTCCCTCTCACTGAGTTCTCTTTGAACTCTGAAAAGGGAGGGAGCTGAGGAAAGGCATAGAAGTTGTTTGGGCTATTGAGGCCAGAGGAAAAGAGTTCCAGATTTAAATGATATCAATCCAGCTATAAACCATGCGATCCGCTGAGTATCAACTGACATGCAGACACAAAAGTGAATGCTTGCTTAAACTAATGTGAGGGGAATGAAAATTATTCTGCTCTTACAGGAGCACTGCCTGGCTGAGCAGGCGGTCTGGGCCAGCCACACAGAGATTGGTAGAAGGACTCCTGTCCCTGTCTACTCACAGCAAATGAACTTGGCTCCTTTCTTAGGGCCCTCCAGGATACAGGCTCCCCATTGTGCTTTGAGAATGAAGTTTGTGCTGAATGGGGAAGAGGGAATTTTACATTTGCTTACGTTAGAAGGCATTATAGCCAATGAGAGCCAAATAACCCAAGAATTTTGGCACTAGAAGGGACTTTAGGCCATTTAATTCACACTCACCATTTTAGACAGAGAAACTGAGAAAGAAGAAAGAAATTTGTACAAATTCGCTGGTAAATTCTCACAAAGTTGAGTCTAGAATCTAGCAGACACTTAGACCCATCCTCCTCCCTTTCCCTGCTGCCTCCATGGAAAACGTGGTGGTTTTCCTGGCTTGTTGTGGTTCTCTGAAAGCCCTTGGATTATCAGAGCTCACATTCACCTAGGCGTATTTCCTCAACTCACCGGCTGGGGCTGAATGAGGCTCAAAGACCAGTGGGAAGAGAGTGCTTGTTGAAGGGTGCATGGTGGACTGAGAGAGAGGGGCTATGGATTAGATTCATGACTTTACACTACCCACTTGAGAACTTCATTTTCAAATGTGCAAGAAGAAACAGACGCTCTTACTACACCCAACTAATCATTCAGCATGTGTCAAGTCCAGTGAGGTGGTGAACAGGCGCAAACAGAACTCTTGAGGCATGCTTGGTTCTGCATCAGTAAGTTATGATCTCTCCATAAAAAAATCAGTCACCTCCTGTGGTTGGACACAAGTAGAGACTGTGGGTCCCCACCCCGATTAGCTTGCTACCAAATGGAGCTGTTGCAATAAATGCAAGTCTCAGCTCAGACCACATTTCATCAAATGCAGGGATCTTTGTTACATACCAGATTATACTAATCTTTAAAAACCTTGCTAAGAGGTTTTTGCTCTCTCTCTCCCTCTCTCTCTCTCTCTCTCTCTCTCTCTCTCCGTCTCTCTCTCCTTGCAACCTCTGGCTCCCCCAGACAAAAAACAGCAGAAATGCCCAGGCAAGAAGGGGTTGCTGTCCTGGGCTCTGTCCTTTAAAGGGTCTCTCTCTGCCCCCTCCTAGGCACCCTCTTTCCACAGGTGATGAGTTACAGGGCCCAGGGAATGTGTCTGCACCTGTGACTCATCACTGGTGGAAGCCCATACGCCACCCAAACCACTCTTTGGTGCCCAGGATCCCAAGGGCCCTGAACCCACTTCAGGCCTCTTCAGGGGGTCTGAGTCCTGAGGTCATCTGTCTCATGGCTGTCCTCATCCCTAGGCCACCAGGCAGCCATTTATAAAGAATGGGCTATGCAGACTGGGGTGTCTTTAATATGGGATGAGGGATGGAGCTGGGAGCAGACAGAGAAAGGAGACAGTGGGACAAGCAGATGGAACAAGACAGAGAAAGGAGCAGACAGAGAAAGGAGACACTAGGACAAGCAGATGGACAAGCAGAAGTCCAATAATTCTACATCCAAACTTGATATTCTAGGTCCCTCTGAATATATATTTTTCAAAGCAAGAGGATAGAATATGTTCTATATTATGGTTTCTTGGCTGGATTTATAGCTTTTAGATATTTAAACATATGCTATGTGGGTCTCCATTTGCACTCTTGCCCCAGCCTGCAAATGTTGGAGACAGGTTTTTGAAGCAAACACAAAGACCAGTTTCCTATGGTTAGGCGGTGGGGGGCAAGGGGAGAGTGGTCTTATCCTTGGAGATGTCACACCAGCGGGCTCTAGACCCCTAGCCCTACACAGATGGCATAATTATTGGGCTTGATCATTTTTATCCCTTACTCATACAAGGCAATTAGTCCTATTAGATTACTCCTAACCAAACAAAAAAATCTGCTGGTTTGCCAAATCAGCAATTACTTTTAACACTTTTGTGTGCAAATAAAGGAAACTCAGTTGTTGACACGGACTAGAGTTCACTTGTTTGTGTTATCCACTAATTAATCAACCCTAAAGAGTAAAAGCAGATTAGGATTAATTGGTTTACACACATATTCCATTACTTAAGCTACAGTATTTAAAAATAATGACCACAAGGCCAGGCATGGTGGCTCACGCCTATAATCCCAGCACTTTGGGAGGCCGAGGTGGGCAGATCACTTGAGATTGGGAGTTTGAGACCAGCCTGACCAACATGGAGACACCTCGTCTCTACTAATAATACAAAATTAGAGGGGCGTGGTGGCGCATGCCTGTAATCCCAGGTACTCAGGAGGCTGAGGCAGGTGAATCACTTGAACCCTGAAGGCAGAGGTTGAGACGAGCTGAGATTGCACCACTTCACTCCAGCCTGGGCAATAAGAGCAAAACTCCATCTCAAAAAAATAATAATAATAATAATAATAATGACCACAAATACAGCATAGCAGCCAGCCTGCCAGAGTTCCCCTTTTGTTCCTAAACTGGACACACCCGGTGGCTGTTGGCAGCCGCTCTCAGGATGAGGAATCTAGGAGGCCCCAGAAGCCCAGAACAAAGGCTCCTCTCCCCCCAGAAAGGGCATGCCAGCCCCTAGCATGATGTGTATCACCGTTTCAGACAATCTTTCTTTAACCCAATAAGCCACATCCCCCAGGCCTATGCCCAGGTTTGGGGTTCTAAGGAACTTACTGCACAACGTTTACATAAAATCATTCTTTTTTTCTGTGCCAGTGCTCCATATTAAGCAACCTCCCTTTATCTGTACTTACATTGCAGGATCTAAGAATTTTCTACCCACATCCACTTGGGGGCTTTCCATGGGCAGATTTGGCCATGACCCACCATATGCTGTTTTTCCAACTCTTTGCTGTGTTTACTCTTCATGCAAACTTGGGTTATTCCAATAATTGTTTTTCAGTAATTTGGAGAGTTATGGGAATGCAACATTGAGCCCAAAAGGCAAGATCAGAACTAAAACTTGTGACATTAAATATCCAAGAGTTCTATCCAAACTCTTCTAGAAAGTTAATGAGAACCCCAGGCAAATCAACTGGAAGAAAAATATTTACCATTTAGCATGAGACAGTTGCAGGTACAAATCTTAGTCTACAGAAACGTAGACAAGCTGATCAGTGGGTTCCATTCCGGTTCACCTAGGACACACAATACCACATCCAAGAATTCCCTAATGAATATACAGTTCTTACTTTCTCTGTGACCCAGCTCCCTCCCTGCAAGTCCCCAGAGACTAGGAAGAGGGAATTTCAAGTGGAGCACCACATATTCTCCTAAATCTCTTGTATAAGTCAGAGTCCTTCCTTCACACACAAGGGCTTTAAAAACTCAAAAGCCAGGAAAATGGTCTTCTATATCTCTGACCCCTGTTGACCGTCCCTTCAGTAAGGCAATGAGGACAGACTAACCTTGCTCAAAAAAGCAAGAAGTACTATGGGAGGCCGAGGCTGGGGGATCACCTGAGGTCAGGGATTCGAGACCAGCCTGGCGAACACGGCAAAACCCTGTCTCTACTGAAAACACAAACATTAGCTGGGTGTGGTGGCACATGCCTGTTATCCCAGCTACTTGGGAGGCTGAGGCAAGAGAATCACTTGAACCTGGGAGATGGAGGTTGCAGTGACTGGAGATTGCGCCACTGCACTCCAGCTTGGGCAACACAGCGAGGTTCTGTCTCAAAAAAAAAATAAATAAATAAAAACAAAATAAAAAGAAGAGAAGTAGGTGAGAGGGTTAAGAAAGAAATACAGGAGGAAAAAAACTATATAATACTTCAAAATTAATATCCAACCATAATACTAACAGAGTTTTGAATACATTTCCATATAGCCTGTTGATTAAAAAACCTTTCTTTAAAATATAGATATGATTACAAGCCTCCAACAGTTTCAGATCCCCACAAAGGAAGTATTAGAAAGATCCTGCTACATTTGGAAAATGAAGTGCGGGCACCACTGAGATATTTGTCTGGGAGACCTACTATTTGCATGGGCAGAGAAAACATTCACATGGAATATTCAACCACAAAAGCATCAGATCCTGGGAACAAAACTAACAATTTCCCAAACACTTCCAAAACATAGCTCTGACCTCTACTCCGTCAAAAATTCTGATTTAATTTTAGGAGATTCTGCTCTATTTCTTAAATCAAATGTCCCTATCTCTCGTGCACCGTGAATGCTCTGAATTGACCAGTAAGACAAAAGCAACATTAAAACCAACAGTGAGGGCAGTTTCAGCATCACCTTGCTCTCCTCCAAGACATCTCCTAGTTACCTTGCTCCTTTCTCCCTGCCAGAGCTTGAGTTCTCTTTTCCAAAATATGGCTTGAGCACCTCCTTCAAGAAGTCTTCCTCACGTCTCTTATCTTGTTCTAATCATCCCATGGCTAGTGTAAGTAGCACAGATCCCATCTGCATTCCAGTTTTATGTGGTCCTGTTGTTTCTTCCTGTCTTCCATTAGCCTATAAGCTCTATTGTACAAGGTCTACACACTCACATCCATCGTAGTACCCGTAACCATGTTGCACAATATTCTGCATACAGAGGGAACTTAATAATTTTTGCAGTTTGACTTCTGGGTCTCTATTCTGGCTCCTGGGTAATCATTTATCAGCAAACAAATTAGTTATCAGTGAAACAGCCATGGTTTCCAGAGTGAATCATTTGTATTTCCACTGCTGGAAAAAACAACACATAGCACTTTCCTTGCAGAGAGGCATGCGGTCAGAACGTCACGGGCAGATCTCACCTGAGAGTTTTGACACTTGTAACTCTGACCTGGAAAGGTGAATCAAGTTTTATTTTGATTCATGTGTTTTTCCAGGTTCCTTTAGCCTAAATGTATAAAAGTCAGAGAATGTGATCACCATAATATTGGCAACAACAATGACAGAGATATACACATACAGTCACTGGCTGAACACCCACCAGCACGATTGCTGGAAACCAAGCCGCACCACACCTGCCGAAGCATCCAGGACCACCTACTCATTGCAGGCTCAGCAGCTGTGCCCACCTTTGTCCATCCCAGGTATGGCTCCCCCAGGTGCCAGGCTACTTCTCTCTCTTCTAGAGGCTGCTGTTCCTGCCGGCACCCAGCACCTGCCTCCTAGCTCTAAGCCTGTGGGGCAGCCAGGGCAGTCTTGCCTCTGGCCTCCCTTAGTCCCATACTTCAGGTGAGTGGCTTTGCACGGCAGCCCAGCCCTGGGGAACTTTTCAAGGGAGTGGGCTTCTTTCCCTCCCTAACTCCCTTACCCTCACCCAACTCCACCCCATACTGACCCTTTACCATCGCCAGTTGTTGCCTTGCCAGGTACTGGTGGAACACCTACATCTCTGCCTATCACAGGGCTTGGACACACAGGCGTTGGAGTCAGATAGGTTGTGTTTCAATTTTGAACCCCCTACACCAATTGCTTCTCTTTTCTGAACCTCAATTTTGTCATCCACAAAATGGAGATAGTATAATAATACCCGCCTTATGGTGGTGGTGTGAAAATTAAGCAGTGATGTCACTCATAATGATAACAGCTGTACTGACCAAAGGACTTCTATGTGCTGGGTGCCATGCAGTGTTTTGTACCTCTTCTTGAAGCCCGGCATGGCGTCTAGCCCAGAACAAGTAGTCAGCAGCTTCCTTCCCCCTCTTCTTCTTTCTTTTCTTCTCCCTCCTTCATTCCCTAAATCAAATAGGTCCCTTGTGGGGGCTTTTTCCTCTCTGCAGCATCTTCCCTTCTTCTACAGGCCATCTGAGAGAACCCAGACCCCTACCCCCAGACTCCCCACCCACCAGAAACAGGAACCTTTTTACTCTCCTGTCCAAGTCCCCCACCCAACAGGGTAGCTCCATTTCTGTTTCCAGCCAGGTTTCCAAGCTCCAACCCCATGTTGGGGCTCTGCACCTGGTGTTCTGTTGCTCCAGGGAACACAGATGGCCAATAGCTAGAGACAAGGCCAGCTCTGTGTTCTCCTGAACCACAGAATGTGCCCCTGAGAGCCCTTTCCTTCCACTTCAGCACACACGCAGGCCATTTGTGCCAGGAATGCTGCAAAACACTGACTGGACACAGATAATCAATGCTTAAGCATAATGGTCTCCAATGGAGCAGGAGAAGGTCAGGAACCAGCGGGGCATAGCCATGCCCCCATCCTGGGGGAGGCAGTCAAGAGGAAGGGCCCCTGGGGAAAGAGGGAGCTGCACCTCGCATCAGGGGAGGGGGTGAGTGGAACACCAAGATTTGCTGAACTTCAGGGGCCATCCTATTTTGGGCTAGCTTCTGAAGAACCTTTAGTAGATTTTGCCGCACTTGACCCTGGCTCTGGTGCACATGCCTCTATTGTCTCAGCAAGGCTGCTGAGCTCTCCCTCTCCCTCTGTTCCATTCTTGCTTACATAAGGCCCTGAACATCTCTCAGTATTTTTTCATACGCCCCAAATCTCATCCACAACACACTTCAGTAGTCATAGACACTTTAAATCCTACTGTTAAAATCCATTTCCTTGCTTCTATGCCATTCCATTCCTTCCACCCTCTCCCAGTTGTTCTCAAAGGAAATCATGCATGAAACATTTGAGCCTCCCTCATCAGTTCTTACTCCAAGTCTCCAGGGCCATGTGACTGCCTATGATCCAATCTCCTATGGAGTCAATATACAATTCAAACACCTGATCAACAGACCACAGAAACTGTGGCCTCCACTTTCTACCTTCTTGTCCTGGGTAGGGCTAGGCCTGGTCACTTTCAGGATACTGAGACTCTCTCCTGCCTTCCACAGTAAAAAAAAAAAGGGACTACCCACAGCAGAGGCAAAGGCTTCAAGAACGTGCCCTGATGGACAGTACTTACCTCCCTCTGGCCAGGAGGACGGAAGCAGCAGAAACTCTCACTACCTAATAAGAGGAGAAACAAAGTTGAATGTCTCCAGAAGGTATGAAGTCAGAGAAATCATACGAATAAACAGACACTAAGCTCTGGTGCAGTCTAAGTGATTTATGTTCACTGTATCTTTACAATAATCCTGGGGGTTAAGTACTGTTACTATACACTTCCAGAGTAGACAAGTAAATAGTAGACAAGTAAATGGAGGCTCACAATGGCTCTATAACTGTCCCATCGTCACACAGGCCAAAGCACAGAGGAAAATGACAGATGCATCCCTTCCCTTTTGCTTTAGGAAGGGTGGTCCCCAGGGCCTCGTCTGGAAGACAGAAAAAAGATAAAAAAGAGTTGGACTACTCAGCATAATAAAATGATGGAGGGTTGCCAAATTGGTCCTAGCACTTGAAGAAAGAGGATGGTTATTGAAGAGAGAAGGGACTTTCCAGCAAAAAGGGAAAGAAGTTTTGGTACTTAAAAACTTAAAACAACCTGTTAGAAATTTGTAAGAGTTTGTCTAGTGTGACTTGGCATGTTTTTGTGCTGCGTTAAGTAGAACTATAATTTTCTTCTACTGCCCCAAATCTTCAGTGAAAGTCAGCCAGATGTGCCAACACTACCCACCATAACATTTGTGAATAGATGTAGGTATTGCTTGGATAACAAAAGAAGGGAGCAAACTCCAGCACGGAGGAAGCGGTGTGGAGAGAGGACAGTGGCTTTGATGAGCAAACACTGGGCCCAAGACCACCCTGGGCAACAGAGAATTGAGTCTGAGCAGGAATGGGAGGGAAGGCAGACTCTGCAAATGTGAAGGCCCTGGAGAATCTTTGAAAATGCTGAGAGGAAGCACAATTCCCCATGTAATTTCAGATGGAGGCTTGAGCCATTTGATGTGGATATTAAAGAAAGTGTGACTTCCAGAAGGCTGAAGGTTTGGAACCCTTTGTTATACCTCTTGCAATTCTAACAACCACCCATGAAATAAAATTTGTTTTCCCCTTTGTACAGATGAGAAAGCCCAAGTCATTTAAGAGGTGGATGTAGCCTGGAACCAAAAGACAGGGCCATGACAGATCGCATCTGTCCAGCCTGCTCTGAGAATTGCTCTCCTGTGGAGCACTTCACCCTGCCGGCAAGCTCCGCCCACTCCTGCACAGAACTGTTCAGAAGTCCTTCTTCGTGCTGAATTTTGTATTCCACCCTATCCCCCATGTCACTGCAATCTAAACCTTTTCCTTAAGGACTTCAATGTTAGAAGTCCTGGCTCTGACTCAGACAGCCTAGTTGAGTGACCTTCACATGACTGGGACTCAGTTTCCTTGTCCATAAAAATGGGTAATACCAACATCTATTTCATAAGAGTGTTGTAAAGATTAAACAGAAAAAAAAAAATGCGAAGCACCTAATATATTGTTAGTTTTCAAAAAATATTAATTCTATTACTATTATTGTTTTTCCTTGACTTAATGTCCTGTGTACTTTTAGTTTCCCTCAATGCTAACATCCAGTACAAAATCAGAACATTGATACTGGTGCAACCCACATATTTCATCGGTTTTACATGCTGTCATTTGTGTGTGTGTGTGTGTGTGCCTGTATCACTGTATCGCCTGTGTAGATGCGTGTGACCACCACCACAATCACGAAACAGAATGCTTCCAGCAGCACAGAGGTCCTTGTGCTTCCTCACCTCCTTTCTTGCCCCTCCTTTATCCTTGCCCCCCAGGGGGTGTCCCCAGGAGGTATCTCAGAGAAATCTCAGACATGTTTTCCCACTCAAGGCTGCTTGAAATGGTTGCTTCCTGCAAGCCACCAGGGAGGCCTGGGGCTGCCCCTTTGTCATCAGTCTCCTAAAGGCCTGTACCCTCCTGCCCAGGATACCACCTCCATGTTTCCCCGAAGTCGAGACACATCAGGCATGCCAAATGGAGCTACAGTGTGCGTCATTTACACAGGAAATTCTGTAAGAAATGGGGAGACTGTCCATTCTCCAGCTCTATGTCGCATTTGGCCACACGAGTCCCAAAGCAGATTGCATCTGCCCAAACTGTACACCCCCTACCCATTCTGACTGCAGTTTCCTTGTCTTCGAAGGTCAGATCTAAACCCTGGGACTGGGCTGGGTTTAGGAAGACAGTGTCTTTCCTCCTAATCTCTAAACCTGTGTCCTCCTGGGGCCTCTGTTCAAAGCTTCTTCTTTTTTTTTTTTTTTTTTTTTGTTTTTTTTTTTTTGAGATGGAGTCTCGCTCTGTCACCCAGGCTGGAGTGCAGTGGTGCGATCTTGTTCAAAGCTTCTACAGCACAATTTTGGTTTTCCTGGATAAATAGATGCACAATGGGTTCGCCACACATAAGCTCATCAGATAGACCAAGCTACATTGCAGGATCACAGTTTAGGCTTGGCTTGGGTGCCTGACTCCTCTCAGGATAAATTTGACAGCATTAAAAACAGATGAAATAGCCAACCTAAGCTCAGGAAGGAAGTCCTCAGGTTTGTAGGCTCATAATTTAATTCAAAATAAAAGTTTTACTGAGTCTAGCTTTGGTCAAAAATATTTGATTGTCTAAAGAAGGTAATTACCCTCTCTTATTTACCTAGCATCTAATATAAGATGTGTTCATGGGAATTAACCTGTATCTCAGTATTTAAATTACAGAATAGTAAAGGGGAAATGTGACTTGGCTAGAGGAGGATTAACATCATCCAAAGATAGATAGAGAGACTTAAACCTCTTTGCAGGAGAGAATAGCATGTTTTAAGCAGTACAAGAAGAGTTGCATCATGTTAGGCAAAAGCATAATGTTGCTATTGTCTTTATTGGGAAGTTAAACATGGTTAAAAAGTGCGTGTGAATGCCAAGTTTACAAGGAATACACTGTGGTGGCTTTGTACCATGACAACTGAGCTTAACAGAAACTATGTTTCCAAGAATTCCCTTCACTGTGTAGTTCTAGGTTATGGTTGGCCACAAGACACATTTTGCATCAGACTTAGAAGGTGGGCATGGAGCAGTGGCCATATTTCCTATGCCCTGAATGTAGCAACAGGGCAGCAGGTGCTGTGGCAGCTGGCAAACATCATCGCTGACGTGGTGTGCGTGCCCAGACCCACAGCTCCTCCAGCTCCTGCCAGATCTCCTCCATCTGTTTCTCTGAGTCCTGGGCCAGGTGCAAGTGCAGCTCCATGGCAAAGGGCTCCAGCTTCTCCAGCAGGTCATGCAGAATTGAGGCTGGAGTGGATGGGAGAGAGATACATGGGTTCCAGTCAGTCTGTCTTCATGGTTTCTAATTGTCTTTGTCGGTTCCATTCCGTCTTTGTGGTGTCGTGTTTGTCCCTGTTCTTATCCACACCCAGCTCCCATTCCAACTATGTGTTTGTCTGACCCATAGGACTTCAGGTCAACAGTAGACACCACAGGGGCAATGATGGGTGTAGATGGCCTCCCCCCAGCTCCCTTAAGGCAAAGCTGGGACTCTGCCATCCATTATTCTGTATCACTTACATTGGTTCTGCATCTTTGATCAAACCCTGACTGATACAGAATTATGTATTGATTACTTCTCAGAGACACTATAACCAACTGAATTTGGCATTTGTTGATTGAACAGAAGATCAAGTTTTAACTGCATATTGATTGAAGGGGTAAACGATGAGTAAGAAATTAAAATAACCTTTAGAGGTGGACAGAAATATGTATTCTCTGGCCTGAAAAACAAGTCCTAGGTGACTTTGACCTTCAATTCTTACACTCAAATATCCTGCCTATTCTTCAAATAGGAAGCATCTTTGTAAATGTCTAAGCATTTATTTATTCAACCAACTATGCATTGTTTTCCTCTCTGTCCTATGTATTACTCTACAACTGGACTCCAACACACACTGTGTATGGTTCAAGAAAATCGCTGAGGCATTTTCCTGCCTCCCTCCAGAGCCTTGATCCCAATCTCCTTTCACTTTTATTTTATTTCTCAAACTCCAGACTCTAAGTTCTGAAGACCTGAATCAAATCCCTGCCTTTGGGCCCCCTGGATTTCACATCTACCCATATACGCCCTGGTATTTGATCCTCTGTCCTCCTTGTGGACTCTGGCTTCGCTTGATCCTTCAGGCCCTGTCACCTCCCCTGATCTTGGCTGGAGCTTGCAGCCCCAGCTCCTACCAAAGTCACTGTCTGCGTTTGACTACCTGGATGGTGCTTCCCAGTGAGAAGGAGAATAGGTGACATCCAGACACCACTCCCTAGAGCCTGCAACCTGGTGGGGGAAGTGAGTTATACACAGAATACAAAATATGCATCGAAGAAGTTTGGAAAAAAGCATAATCCCTTTAACCCAACCCAAGGTCATCAGGAGAGTCTTCCTGGATTAGATGACCTTTGGAGGGACTGGTAAAAATTTAACATAACCCCAGCTCTATATAACCCCAGGAGAAGAGTTGGGAAGATAGGAGGGGGAAATGCTAGGGATAATGGAAAAAGCCAAAGAATTGGAGCCTGAGGCCTTGCACAGACAAAATTCAGTTAAATCATTAAAAGAGTACAGAGAAAACATGAGGAAATACAGACAAATTTCTATTTCCTGTCCAAAAAGAAGCAGGGAAACTATAACCACCACAAATAAGCCTCCAGTTTATCCATGACTTAAAACTCGTCATTCACAAACTGCTTGCTGGGGTGACAAACATCTGAACAGTGAATGAGAGGATGAGAGGAAAAACTGGATGATCATGAAATGTTAGTAAGTCGCCCCGAAATTAAGAGCGTACCATTTCCACAAGGCTGGGAGAGAAGTCCCAACTGTGAGGCTTTGGCAGCTCAGGGACGCAGAGCACCTCTCTGGGACTCCACGAGTGCTCTTGGCGACTGAGCTGTGAACATTGCCCAAGAATGCATTTTTGAAAGTCATAAATAATACAAACAACTTCTTGAGTTAAACACACAGGGAAAAAATGACTGAAGATATGTCTGTTACAGATAAACATGCTGCCACATCTTTTTGACAGATTATGGCATTGGCGATTCTTCTAATAAAAAATTCAATTTGAAAGGCCGCCAGCAAAATCACTGTTCCCTGTAAAAGACAATTCTAACTACATCTCTACAAGACAAGTGTAGGCTTCTTAGGATTCTCTGGACAGGAGGATGGAACAAACCTGAAATATTTTGGGTTGTTCGTTTGTTTTTGAGATGGAGTCTTGCTCTGTCACCCGGGCTGGAGTGCAGTGGCACGATCTCGGCTCACTGTAACCTCCGCCTTCCAGGTTCAAGTGATTCTTCTGCCTCAGCCTCCCAAGTAGCTGGGATTACAGGCATGTGCCGCCATGCCTGGCTAATTTTTGTATTTTTAGTAGAGACAGGGTTTTGTCATGTTGGCCAGGCTGGTCTCGAACTCCTGACCTCAGGTGATCCACCTGCCTCATCCTCCCAAAGTGCTGGGATTACAGGTGTGAGCCACCATGCCCAGCCCCCAAACCTG